CTGATAATGAAATAAATATAGAAAAACAAATGGCAATTTGTAATTTTCTCTCAGAATGAAAAAGAAAAAAAACATACTACACAATGTCTCAATGTCCTTCACTTAAAGAAAACAACTAAGATATGATTGTTTTGTAAACACTGTAGTAACCTCCAGTGACCAAGCTGTTGTTGAGCCACTTGATGACGACGGCTGATGTTGATCTTTTCGACGACGATGGCGTCCGGGTCACGGCACCAAAGTCAGAGGAAGGCCCTAAAAATTGTCAAAGACTCCAGCCACCAAAGAATGTTCTCTCTGCTACCGCATGGCAAGCGGTACCAATGCACCAAGTCTGAAACCAACAGGACTTCGAACAGCTTCTACCCCCAAGCCATAAGACCACTAAATAGTTAACTAAATAGCTACCCGGACTATCTGCATTGACCCTCTTTGCACTAACTCTTTTGACTCATCACATATGCTGCTGCTACTGTTTATTATCTATCCTGTTGCCTAGTCACTTTACCCCTACCAATTACCTTGTACATCGACCCAGTACTGTTACCCCGTGTATATAGCCAAGTTATCATTACTCATTGTGTTTCTATTCCTTGTGTTATAATTTGTTTCTATATTTTTCTCTCTGCATTGTTGGGAAGGGCCCGTAAGCATTTCACTGTTAGTCTACACCTGTTGTTTACGAAGCATGTGACAAATTAAATTTGATTTAGCTACGATCTGGCTACTTTTCTGCGTTGTGTTCTGGTGTATTGGTAACAAACAGGACTCTGGACACTAGTTGCTGGTTTCCGGTCTTTTATTTATCTGGATTGGGGAAAAAATGCAATGAAATGAATGGTGAGCTTCTCAATGCTTCATACAGTGCACACCTAACGTGAGGAAAAATAAAGTGAGCGAGTGCCTGCATGAGGAAAGCTACAAATACCCTGCTAGCATGTAATGTTGCTAGCTAAGCTAACATTGCACCACACGGTAGAAAACTCTTTCAACAGAATAATATTTAATCACAAACAGTTTGCTAGAAACAAACAATGTTGGAATATATTCTATCAAATGTACATGAAGTTTTACATGTTTACACCATATGTACATTTGCGCACACATGAACACCAGCGGCAGTCAGTGCCGTTTAAGATTGGACTGAAGAGGGGAAACTCCCGCTGCTGACTTTTAATTTTGTTCTCAAATTTCATGATATCCAATTGCGATCTTGTCTCGTCGCTGCAACTCCCCAACGGCTCAGGAGAGGCAAAGGTCAAGTCATTTTCTTAAAACCTGCCCGCTTATCCCAACTGCACCAATGTGTCAGAGGAAACACCATCCAAAATATATCCTGCCAATCTGCACTTCTTAACACCTGCCCGCTTAACCCGGAAACCAGCTGCGCCAATGTGTCAGAGGAAACACCATTCAACTGATGACCAAAGTCAGCCTGCAGGCACCCGGCCCGCCACAAGGAGTTGCTAGAGCGTGATGAGCCAAGTAAAGCCCCCCCGGCCAAACCCTCCCCTAACCCAGACAATTGTGCGCCACCCTATGGGACTCCCGGTCACGACCGGTTGTGACACAGCCTGGGATCGAACCCGGGTCTGTAGTGACGCCTTAGACCACTGCGCCACTCGGGAGGCCCCTCATGCTGCTGACTTTACGGTACTGCAAGCCAGAGCAATACATCTCAGAGCACTCGATACTCTCACAATCTATGGATATGGAAAATAACAAAAACGAATTGAAGGATTTAGGTAAAATGCACATAAGGCAATAGTAATATTTGTTACACATGTATTAACTATCTATCTATCTATCTATCTATCTATCTATCTATCTATCTATCTATCTATCTATCTATCTATCTATCTATCTATCTATCTATCTATCTATCTATCTATCTATCTATCTATCTATCTATCTATCTATCTATCTATCTATCTATCTATCTATCTATCTCTGTGTGTATGAGTGTTTCTACGACCCCTCTGCATGAGTGACATTGCAGCGCCGCGGCAGCCGTCTGCTGCGCCACAATGTAGATGTTTGCTAAGACATATTAGAGCCTTTGTTAGCTTTAGCCCTGTTAGCTCTAGCCCGCTCTGTAAGGCCCATGTATTAAACATTACGGATATAGATATGGCCAGCCAGATGGAATCTGTGGAGGCGGAATGTCTTTAAGGCTCCAGTATTTATTTGAAATAAGATATACTTAATTGTTCGATACATGTATGTGGTACACGTGCCACTTATTTAAATGAGGCCAAACTGCTAGAAACATTAATTTTTTTAGAGATCACGAATGTAGACAGTGCTGCAAAGGTATCGATGAGGACATTTTCCAGTAGAGTCTACTGTCTACCTGTCCCTTGATATAGACAATGTAGACAACCCCTGCTAGAGTACAAACACAACACCTTTATAATCTTAAAATGAATCAATAACAGTGAACATGGCAGCACTCCAAAAAGAGCCTACTCTTTGGGCTGGTTTCCCGGACACAGATTAAGCCTAGTCCTAGACTACACAATGTGAGTCAATATGAGTCCTGGTCAATGTAAGAATTTACATTGAAATTACTTTTGAGTCCAGGACGAGGCTTAATCTGTGTCCGAGAAACTGCCCCCCTAAAGTATAACCTTTAGCACTCCCTTTAACTCAGCAGTGTGGTAGAGCATGACTTTATCCACTTTATCCAACGTGACTCTACGCTTACTGTTGTTCTATAGTCTAACTGTGATAACCATGACCCCAATTACAACATCAAGATGAGCTGGAGAGAAAGGCTATCCATCACGGTCAGAGTTGATGGGGCCTGAGTTGGCAGCTGTCTCTCCCTGGGTAGAACAGACTGAAGAGCTTCATTGGGTTTTCACTCGGTGCAAGACAGAGCTTGTTGACAATTAAACCCACAATCAGAGGGATCTGGCAGTGTAGTCTAAGATGGGACGCTTGGACTGTTTCAATTAAAAAGAACTGTGGACTTTTAAGTGTAAAACATTTAAATCAATTATTGAGGAATAATAAAGCATATGTGCTCTTGCAAGAGCCTTTCTCCAGGGTTGTGTTCCGTAGGTAGGATACATTTAGAAACAGAGTGAAATGGGGAGGGACTACCTGACCCTCTCCAATGAGAACACAGATTTTTGTTACACATTGCAAAATGTTTTGTTATGCTGTGTCCTACTTAACATGGCCCTGGATTATATCAGGAGTAAACTAATGTTCAAATATAGCAAAGAGCCATGTCACAATGTTTCAGACATGTAAGAGACCAGCCCCAAGATATTGAGCATGGTGCCAAGTAGTCTCTTTATCCTTCAGAATATCCTAAAGCATTCCTCTGTTAGATCCAATGACAATTGATTAGCATCATAAGGTTAACTCAATAAGGCACTGGCGGGGACACACTCAGTAATCTTTAAAAAAAAACTCAGATCTACACACATACACACACACACACACACACACACACACACACACACACACACACACACACACACACACACACAGTTGCCTCATGTGACGGGAGTTTTTTTGGGGCTGTACCATCTGCAGTTGCTGCATGAATGTGCTAATAGCAATCTAGCATGGTTCAGTCACCTCCTCCACCTTATTTACAACCTAATGACTTTCGCTGTCATCCCAACACAGAAAAACTGAGAATTCAGGGCCCATCAAAGCCTTTCTTTTTGCTTCCAATCTGCAGAGGAGAGTGGTCAAGTTCTGTCTTTCATCTGAAAGTTTTGGCAAACAATGTTTCAGTTTGCTTTGTGCCTTTCATCGTGATATGAAGTCCCACAGATTTTGAAGTTTATTGGAGTCCTTCTATCAACTGCATTCCAAAAGTAAGCACTTTCCATAATTTTACAGCAACAACAGACTCTCAGAGCCCTCCAAAGTCCACAGAATCCTCTTTGCGAAGAGCATCTCTGAGAAACACAAGGGTGAGATGCCTTTTTGTGTGAAGTTTCATCCAGCTTGGTACCAAATGGCACTCTATACCCTTTATAGTGCTCTACTTTTGGTCAAAAGTAGAGCACTATAAAGGGTATAGAGTGCCATTTGGGATACAGTCAGGGAGGGAGGAGAATCACATGGCCGCCTTGTCGACAACACAGAGAAGAGGCGCCCGCCACAGCAGATTACTTTGTTTTGAGACGACCTACTTTGTTGATGTTTTCTCTACTGCCTTTTTTGAAGAAGCCAGACGGGGAGCCGATTCTCAGAAAACATTGGAGAATCCTCAGGGACAAGCTCTGCCTTCCCCACTTGGGCTTCACCAATCATAATACATCGAGAACTATATTGAAAAGCTAAAGCTAGGGGCACATTGTGAAAACATCAAATAGCATCAAGTCGCTTACATATAAGCCTACTTATGTTATTAACATTTGATACAGTTCTGTCATATATTTCCTTTGCAGCATACTCTCATGACTCCCACAATGCATGGCACAATTAAGTCTGGAAGTTCCTGCAAACATAAGCATGTCAAGAGTATGATTCCCGAAATAATATCTTCATTTAAATTCCAACTCAACTTCCTTTTTGTTGATGAAACATCATACTGGAGCAATCACCCTATCTTCGTTAGTAATTGGCCAGCCTACTGACAGATGTGTTTTAACCCATTGAGTCCAATTCTTTACGCTGGCGTGATTTAGGACATTGTGGGTTTGAGCTACAGATTTATGAGTTGTACCATTAGTCTGTATGATTAACGGGAGCTAGAGCTGTGTTTGTGAGACAAGGGCGGATCCCGAAGTGGCCCGGGGCCGGGTGTTTTTACAAAAACCTCTGTAGTCTGAATGTTTATTTAACCAGGAAAAGACCCTTGAGTTTAGAAACCTCTTTTGCGAGGGGGACCTGGCAAAAGGTCAGCAGGAAGAAGTCAGCGTGTACATACACCACACAACACAATACAATACATTAAGAACAATTACAATTGTCAGTGACATTTTCTTCTATCAGAGCTTTAAACAGCGATACGCTCTCCTCCAGTTTCAAAGTATTTTGTAGTTCGTTCCAGGACCAAGGAGCATTACAGGAGAAGGATTGTTACCCCATTTCAGTCCTTGCCCTAAGAACTGTGAAAGAGAGCAGTGACTGAGAGCGGAGGCTGTAGGATTGTGATGTTGTTGTTAGTTGGGAGTCAAAGCACTGCCTCGTACACAAATATGAACCAGTGCTTAAGCCTTCTGGCGGGAAGGGAGGGCCACTTCACCATGTTGTAGATTGAGTATATCAAACATTAGGAACACCTTCCTAATATTGAGTTCCCTTTTGCCCTCAGAACAGCCTCTGAATGGCACCATGACCCTCTGAATGGCACCATGTCTCAATTGTCTCAAGGCTTAAAAATCCTTCTTTAACCTGTCTCCTCCCCTTCATCTACACTGATTGAAGTGGATTTAACAAGTGCCATCAATAAGGGATCATAGCTTTCACCTGGATAGTATTTTTAATGTTTTGTATATTTAGTGTATAGTTCACAGTGATGGGTGAATGGTCTTGCACATTAGTGATGCACCTAAGCGCTTCATGATACACTGCATTACCCGAAGCGTACTGGCGGAAGCTCACATGTAAATAATCTCACCATAGTCCAACACAGATAAAACATTTACCTTGCACAAAATCCTTCCTGACTGATACAGAAAAACAAGATTTGTTCCTAAAATAAAAACCCCATTTCAACTTCAGTTTCTTTGCCAAGATTTCAATGTGCTATTTAAAATTGAGCTTTTCATCTAACCAGATGCCTAGATATCCTTTCGATCAGATGGTCATTTAAAGTTAGAATCTGCAGATGACTCCACTTGTCTGCTTTAAGGTTAGATAAAACCATGTACTGAGTCTTTCTGGAATTCAGCACAAGTTTCATGTGGAAGAGTTGTTTCTGAATGTCATCAAAAGCCAGTTGCAAATCCTGAAAGGCCTTCTCAATTTTAGAGGCACAGGCGTAAACAATTGTGTCAGCATATAGATGACTTTTGCAGAGTTTACATTTCCACCAACATAACAGTGTAAAAAGGACAGGCCCTAAAATGAACCCTTGGGTGACACCCTTTGTAAGCAGTTGAAACTCTGATTTCATGCCCTATTGTGCTACACACTGGATTCTGTCAGAGAGGTAGTTTTGGAACCAATCCAATACGAAAACATATTTTATTTCATCTATGCAGCAGCAGAGCATGGTCAACAGTGTCGAAAGCTTTCAATAAAAGTGAAACACAATGCTGTTTTCTGTCCTGTGTCTCCTGAAGATCACTGATCACCTTGGTTGCAGCTGAGATAGTACATTGTTTTGCTCTGAATCCAAACTGGTTTTGGGATAAGATACAACAATTATAAAGACAATCTTTCAGCTGGGAATTCATAAGGTTCTCAAGAACTTTAGCAAGCACAGAAAGTTTAGATATAGAGCAATAGTTATCCAACTGGGACGGATCTCCACCTCTATGCAGTGGCGTGACGTATGCTGCCTTCCAGATTTTTGGAATCATGTTACTTGACAGTGATAAATAAAAAATTTGAGTGAGAGGGGCAGCAAAGATGATGCAGCAGCTGTCTTAGAATCAATTGATTTGAGCGTGTTTACAATTTCGGATTGTGTAATATTGGCGAAATTAAAAGGATAACCCACTGTCCTATTTGTGGCAGGGTCGTCGGTCGCAGGCTCCTGCGCATTTGAAACGGGTTGATTATCAAAAACATAACAAGCTTTAGCGAAGTGGTCATTAAATAGATTTGAGCCAGACTTTTACAGTGTCCATTTTGGGAACCAAGCTTCTCACGTTTCTAAGTTGAATGCACCAATTTGTAAGTCGCTCTGGATAAGAGCGTCTGCTAAATTGACATTTACATCATTTAGCAGATGCTCTTATCCAGAGCGACTTACAAATTGGTGCATTCAACTTATGATAGCCAGTGGGACAACCACCTTTTTTTTTATGGGGGGTGGGGGAAGAAGGATTACTTTATACTATTCCAGGTATTCCTTAAAGAGGTAGGGTTTCAAGTGTCTCCGGAAGGTGGTCAGTGACTCCGCTGTCCTAGCATCGTGGGGGAGCTTGTTCCACCATTGGGGTGCCAGAGCAGCGAATAGCTTTGACTGGGCTGAGCGGGAACTGTGCTTCCGTAGAGGTAGGGGAGCTAGCAGGCCAGAGGTGGATGAACGTAGTGCCCTCATTTGGGTGTAGGGTCTGATCAGAGCCTGAAGGTAAGGAGGTGCCATTCCCCTCACAGCTCCGTAGGCAAGCACCATGGTCTTGTAGTAGATGCGAGCCTCAACTGGAAGCCAGTGGAGTGTGCGGAGGAGTGGGGTGACATGAGAGAACTTGGAAAGGTTGAACACCAGACGGGCTGCAGCATTCTGGATGAGTTGTAGGGGTATAATGGCACAGGCAGGGAGCCCAGCCAACAGCGAGTTGCAGTAATCCAGACGGGAGATGACAAGTGCCTGGATTAGGACCTGTGCTGCTTTCTGTGTAAGGTAGGGTCGTACTCTGCGAATGTTGTAGAGCATGAACCTGCAGGATCGGGTCATCGCTTTGATGTTAGCGGAGAACGACAGGGTGTTGTCCAGGGTCACGCCAAGGTTCTTTGCACTCTGGGAGGAGGACACAATGGAGTTGTCAACCGTGATGGCAAGATCATGGAGCGGGCAGTCCTTCCCCGGGAGGAAGAGCAGCTCCGTCTTGCCGAGGTTCAGCTTGAGGTGGTGATCCGACATCCACACTGATATGTCTGCCAGACATGCAGAGATGCAGTTCGCCACAAGAAAATTAATTGTGTGTCGTCTGCGTAGCAATGATAGGAGAGACCATGTGAGGATATGACAGAGCCAAGTGACTTGGTGTATAGAGAGAATAGGAGAGGGCCTAGAACTGAGCCCTGGGGGACACCATTGGTGAGAGCATGTGGTGCGGAGACAGATTCTCGCCACGCCACCTGGTAGGAGCGACCTGTCAGGTAGGAAGCAATCCGAGAGTGAGCAGCGCCGGAGATGCCCAACTCGGAGAGGGTTGAGAGGAGGATCTGATGGTTCACAGTATCAAAGGCAGCGGATAGGTCTAGAAGGATAAGAGCAGAAGAGAGAGAGTTAGCTTTAGCAGTGCGGAGAGCCTCCGTGACACAGAGAAGAGCAGTCTCAGTTGAATGACCAGTCTTGAATCCTGACTGGTTTGGATCAAGAAGGTAATTCTGAAAGAGATAGCAGGAGAGTTGGCTAGAGATGGCACGCTCAAGAGGGGTGCAACTCTCGCTCTCTTGAAGACGGAAGGGACATGGCCAGCGGTCAAGGATGAGTTGATGAGCGAGGTGAGGTAAGGGAGAAGGTCTCCGGAAATGGTCTGGAGAAGAGAGGAGTGGATAGGGTCAAGCGGGCATGTTGTTGGGCGGCCGGCCGTCACAAGTCGCAAGATTTCATCTGGAGAGAGAGGGGAGAAGGAAGTCAAAGCATAGGGTAGGGCAGGACCAGCGGTGTCATTTTACTTAATAAATGAGGATCAGATGTCGACAACCTTCTTTTCAAATTGGTTGACGAAGTCATTCACAGAGAGGGAGGAGGGAGGGGGAGGAGGAGGTGGTTTCAGCAAGGAGGAGAAGGTGGCAAAGAGCTTCCTAGGGTTAGAGGCAGAGGCTTGAAATTTAGAGTGGTAGAAAGTGGCTTTAGCAGCGGAAACAGAGGAAGAGAATGTAGAGAGGAGGGAGTGAAAAGATGACAGGTCCGCAAGGAGTCTAGTTTTCCTCCATTTCCGCTCGGCTGCCCGGAGCCCTCTTCTGTGAGCTCGCAATGAGTCGTCAAGCCACGGAGCAGGAGGGGAGGACCGAGCCGGCCGGGAGGATAGGGGACATAGAGAGTCAAAAGATGCAGAAAGGGAGGAGAGGAGGGTTGAGGAGGCAGAATCAGGAGATCGGAGGGAGAAGGATTTAGCAGAAGGAAGAGATGATAGGATGGAAGAGGAGAGAGTAGCGGGAGAGAGAGAGCGAAGGTTGCAACGGCACATTACCATCTGAGTAGGGGCAGAGTGAGTAGTGTTGGAGGAGAGCGAGAGAGAAAAGGATACAAAGTAGTGGTCGGCGTCTTGGAGGGGAGTTGCAGTGAGATTAGTAGAAGAACAGCATCTAGTAAAGATGAGGTCAATTGTATTGCCTGCCTTGTGAGTAGGGAGGGGACGGTGAGAGGGTGAGGTCAAAAGAGGAAGGGAGTAGAAAGAAGGAGGCAGAGAGAAATTAGTCAAAGGCAGACGTAGGGAGGTTAAAGTCACCCAGAACTGTGAGGGGTAAGCCATCCTCAGGAAAGGAACTTATCAAGGCGTCAAGCTCATTGATGAACTGTCCAAGTCAACCTGGAGGGCGATAAATGACAAGGATGTTAAGCTTGAATGGGCTAGTGACTGTGACAGCATGGCATTCAAATGAGGAGATAGACAGATGGGTCAGGGGAAAAAGAGAGAATGTCCACTTGGGAGAGATGAGGATTCCTGTGCCACCGCCGCGCTGACCAGATGCTCTCGGGGTATGCGAGAACTCATGGTCAGACGAGGAAAGAGCAGTAGGAGTAGCAGTGTTTTCTGTGGTAATCCATGTTTCCGTCAGTGCCAAGAAGTCGAGGGACTGGAGGGCAGCATAGGCTGAGATGAACTCTGCCTTGTTGGCCGCAGAACGGCAGTTCCAGAGGCTGCCAGAGACCTGGAACTCCACGTGGGTCGTGCGTGCAGGGACCACCAGATTAGAGTGGCAGCAGCCACGCAGTGTGAAGCGTTTGTATGGCCTGTGCAGAGAGGAGAGAACAGCGATAGACAGACACATAGTTTACAGGCTTCAGAAAAAGGCTACAATAATGCAAAGGAGATCGGAATGAAATGAACTAAACTTCTGGGAAAGTGAGAGAGCGGGGCCTCCCTCACTTACGTTTCACTGAAACACTCAAATATAACTCTCCCAACTTCCACTTTAGAAATTATAATTGTTGTAAACTACAGTGGTTCAATATTTTCTAGGAATAGACTCTAACTCAGTTTATTCAGCTAGCTAACTTGGTACAGTATTCTTCTGTGAAAACCATCCAGGGCACCGAATCCTATGATGCCATAGCCAACTAGCATGCCAGCCTCCAATAACACGGTTTAGCACCAATACTCGGTTACAACAAACCACCAGTGTGTTAACACGTCAAACAGATAATTTGTGTCCGTGTCTAACGTTGTGTAAAGTTTTGGGTTAGTTTTGATAGTTTGAGTGAGTACTTCGTCAACGTATTCAGCCAGTTAGTTAGCTAGAATAGTTAGCATACTAGCTAGCCATTGCTCTCTGCCAACGAACCAACCTCTCCTCCCATGGCACGAAACACAGAGAGAGCCAAGCTAACGTTAACTAGTCACCCATGTCCCGAATTCCCTTGAACGACTCTGGTTACCAGTATGTAAAAACAAAACACAAATAAATATAGGTTATAACTTACCCTTAGTAGCTACTGTTAGCCAGTTAAGTGCAAAGCTAGCCACTGAATCGATTCAGCCAGTTCACGTCTGTCCCAACGGAGAGAAAGCGTCTCCAAATATTACAGCTAGGTCGTTCCAGCTATTGTTTAGTTAGCTATCCAGGTAGCAACAAGCTAGCTACATTTCGAGTACAGTAGCTACTAACTACCTAACGTTAACGCTTCAGATGATGAGGTTAGAAAAACAGCTGAATGGTAGGTAGCTAGCTGGCATAATTACAGGTACTCTTAAGCGTGAAATAACATTGGAAACAACTATCCACAGTTGCTAATAGTTACCAGTAGCTACCCGCTAGCTAGCTAGCTTTATTGGTCCAGGTAGTGGGTTAGCTAGCCTCGTGCTTCACTGGGCTCAGCCGAATACAATACTTACCTACAATAACTACCTAGATAAACTACCTACAATACCTAACTACAATACCTACCTACAATCTAAATACATGGTTTAAGCTTTACTCAACACCATATAAGAAGCCAAGCTTACCTCCCACTAGAGAAACACAACCTCACCCGACCAGTATCCTGTTACATAATGACTTAAATGTAAAGGTAAATTATCTAGTTCTGAAGTCGTTTGGAGTCAGAAGATGTACACGCACATGTAACTTGTTTTGCTCTTTGACGCTCACAAGCTACACACGCTTCGTTAGAATGTAAGGGGTTTTTCTACATAGAAGGTCATAGGAAATCCCAGGATATAGTGTCTTTAATACTGTAATAAGCTCACATAGTTACTGTCACAAACTCCACACAGTTGTCACTGAGTAGTTAGATATTAATTTCCCACAGAGCAAACGATTTCTGTACTTACAGCATTCATATAAATTCTTTTTTATCAGGTTTTTGCTTTGGCAGACATTGGTCAGTAAAACTCATGAATGCAACTGTTTACGTCAAATTGTTTTGCATTCTACGTGCAGCCCTGGTTGTTCTGAAAAGAAAACAGTAAAACACTTCATTGTGAGATTAAATGTAAGGGCTGGACATGCAGATAAATGAAAGTCAGATAAATTAAAAGCCGATATTTTCTGGGGTCTCGGGACTGACAGGGTTAACATGCTAATGTTCAGAGTGGAAGTCAATATCAGGAAGGTGTGCTTAATGTTTTGTACACTCAGTGTAAGTCAATCAACTTTGATTAGGGAACTTTCTTAACTGAATGGGAGGTAGGAGGGAGGGGGAGGTTATTTGCATGTACTTCAGTGTTGAGGACA